GGGTACCCCTTAGAAAAATCTCGGAAAAATCGAAAATTTTTTTTTTGTTGTTTATTATTAGCAATGTTCTTCCGACGTCTGATTTCTTTTCAAAAAATGCGTTTCTAAAGTGCATAAACTTTTGGGATTGACTGTATAGCCAATACATCCTTAACGTGACGTATTTTACAAAAAACGTGCACTTATCTTTACGTTTGAATATAGGTTCAAAAATCAGAACAGCACCAAAGCAGATTGTCTAATATCTTTAACGGGATTTACCGTGTCGCGAGCAGCCGAGGTGAAATCAAGGAAATATGCGTTCAAAGTTTATCATACGGGGACGGTGTTCTATTTCGCGGCGGACACGGAAGATTCTCTTGCCCTGTGGGTAGACGCGATTAACAAGGCAACGCTAGGCGCGGATGGCCATAGTCGGAACAGTGCGCTTTTCAGCGAAACCGACGAGAGCGACGGCGAACAAAAGAGTAAACCTAAGACCACGCCGGAGTACAAGCCGAACTTCGAGAAATCGTTCGGATCGTTGAAGAAGGTCGTTCGGAAGGATTCATCTTCGTACAAGGATCACGAAATCAGTGGTGCTAGCTTAGACAGAAAATACTTGAAGTTCCTTGGTACGAGGAATCACAATGTACCTGTACCAACTGCACAATTTCGGAGCTACAGAAGAGTCATTCCCTCGTCCACGCCCAACAAGTGAGATTATTTAATTACGCTCAACTGTCGTCTCGGTCGTAGTCTATATGCAGCGTGAATTGTTTTCTTAGAAAACAAGAATCAGTTCCAAGTTCACCGGATCTACAAATGACGATCGCGGGAAGCACGTTTTACGGATTGTGTGCATCTCATAGCGCTACCGATATGTCGAACAGTACTCAAGACATGGGTGATTACAGACGTACCACAGACAGGTAACAGTCTTTACTTGCATGCCGTACAGCTAATACTAATTTTTACATTCTTACAAGTTTCACTAAACATGAACTCTTATCACTTGCCTCGTCTTTCGGATGGTGAACGTGGAAATAGATTTTTAATAAAAGATTGTTGTCCGAAAAGTTTCATAATAAAATAACTAAAGAAAAGTAAATCGATTGAATTTATTTTATATGTATATATTTTGTGCATGTCTCTTTCCTCGTTTTTACTATCTTCCTTTATCCTTAGTAAATTAGTAGCGTCAGTCTTTCTTTTATCGTCCGAACGTACAAAGAAGTGAATGAAACAGCGTTTAACATTTAGGTGTGTCAATAGCAGAAATAGGAGACCCGAAGAGCTTCAGGGTTTTATTACGCTAGAGGAGTTCATGCTGTCGCAACAAGAAGAGCAAAGACAGATCGCAAGAGCGTCGACTAGACCGGCGTCTCCACGAATCACGCCTTTGACCAGCGATCACGTTCACGTCCAACATAGAAACTTTCACGACAACGATACGGTCAACGAACAATTCCGGCCTGCCATTGACGGAAGTTTCAATAGCGACGTTTATGGTCGAAGTAAAAACAACGATGAGATGATAAACAATACTGCCTTATACGGTTATTCACGGAGTACCGATAATTTTCATGCGACGCGACAGTCCGGCAGTGATATGAATTCGGAGAGAAACGAGCATAAAGCCGAATCATCGAAACACAGTTCATGCCACAAGAAATCAAACGAATTCTGTTATATCAGTAACAAAAAGAAACCTGTAGACCTATTAAATTCTCAGCAAACGAAGTCGTTGAATCCGTCTCAATGCAAAACTGTCGCGAGCGACCAAAAGCAATCTAATTGTTTGCCGCACAGCAAACCAGATATTGTCGAAATATCCGACAGACAATTGAGCGTGAGTGAATATAATAGTAATTACACGAGCCAAATACAATCTTCAAGCAATCATGACATTTCTAGACCTTACGATTACTACTTCCCTAAAAATATCAATCATTTACCTGAGGACATGAAACCGGTATCAAGGCGACTCGTACGAAACGACGGTAGATACATCTTACGCGTTGCATGACTCAAGTACTATAACAGTACGTAAATAAGTGTATAATTGTATATTTTTCTTAACTAGGTTCCTCCGGATCCAGCAACGATCTTACGTTTCACGTTTACGAAACTCTACAACGCGCAAGAAGAGACGCGTCCGTCAGTCGGAAAGGAAGCTTCAACCTGACGAGTCGTCGCGATCACGTTCCTTCGGACAAGCATTGGCTAGACTCTTTACGACGGACCGATAAAAAGGATATTAATTACGAGAAGACTCGTTTGAAAAACGTAGCACAGTACCAACCACCTCCTATACCTTCTTCCCCGTTCGAACAGGAAGGAATGACAGCTGCATTTGAAATGCACTTGGATAAAAGCGAGCAGGTGCAGAAGACGAATCGATTGAAGAATTTCTTTGGCAATAAATCCCAACAAAAACCGACTACCCTCGATTTACCTAAGGAAGCACAGAAAACTATATTGGGTAAATAGACACTCTCATCTATTCATTTCACGTTTCTACGAAATGTATAAATGAACTTGGATAATTGTATAGGATCGCCAAGACTGCACAGAGCCTTGTTCAGAGAAAAATGTTACAATCAGTCACGATTACCGAGTCGATCGAATAGTCAAAGTCCAGGTGATAGCGGGATCAGTCAGTCCGTCAGTACTTTCAGCGGCAACAGTCCCCAGACCCTGAGCCAAAGTTTCAGTTCGGTTAGTTCTGTCAGTGACTGGAGTCCGGACACACCGTCGCCGTGTAATCCGAATTTGACAGTACGTATCCTATCTAATAATTTCCGTGGCAAGCTTTTCGACACACCGATAGAACCTTATTTTTTAGAACAGTACAACTCATCCCTTCTGTCAGAAAGGACATGGAAACACGGGTAGAAATTCGCTAATGCCTCCGACGTTACCCTATATACCACCACCCACATCACCGCCGCCTGATTATCCTGGTCTCGAGTACCCCCCAGTATTCGAACCTGGTACTTACTCTCTGTTGGATGCTTCGTTACTGCGTAATCGTAACAAAAGTAGCCGAGACTCTCATTAAATGATGATATCTGGCTTTTCAAAATAAGTAACCAAAGATAACGCGTACCATTAACGGTACGCCTAATCAAGTACCATTGTATATAAGGAGTTCAAGAGTTTACTAGATGTACGTATAATATTCGTTTGTCAAGTATTCAAATTTAACCGTCCATTTTATATGAATTTGAAGATTATCAAATCGTCTTTTTATACGAATTGCGATTGAAAAATGGTTCACTCAATGATAATAATAAATGGCAATGAGTGAAAGACTGAAATCTAATATCTTCCTAAGTAAATACGAATGATATTCTTATTGGACTCGAAGAAATTCAATCTTGTTATTTTATTGTTATTATTGTTATTCTTTGAAAAGTTTCATTTACCGTACAAGTGATCTTAAATACATGAAAGTGCTCTTGAAAATTATATCCTAAAGAGATACGTAAGAATAATTTGATTTACATTTCTATAAAAGCAAAATTGTGTTATAATCTAACACATATTTTATATATAGTTTTATAAATACTATGTACGTCATATCTATTTTCGTACATTTATACATATACAATGTGATGATACGTAAAGTGCCTATTACATGTATCTTTTATATAATTTTTGTGTATGTATATATACATATACATATATGATTAAAATTCTAATTGTTACATCTAGCTGATTCGAGGTTGCATGTCTCTTATTATAATTTATGCTCAAGAAATTTTTGAAAAGTATTATAGTACTAAAATCATTATGTATTTTACGTATTTTTATAATAGTTTATAGTTATTATATACACATGTATACATTAAAAGTATGTTAAAGAAGAAAACGTTTCTTCCCTGCCACATAAAACATTTACGCTAAACCGAGGGAAAGTAGTGAGACCAAAATTGCTTCCGATTGAAGTTTAAGACGCGAGCATGATTAACAGTACGCAAACGAATTAGCAACTTGAAAAATGATACTGACTATTCAAAGGAGATGAGATGATGAGTAACGGAAGCAAATAAACATTTCCACGGAACAGTATCGTAACTTTTTGGTCGTTTGCTTCTGTCGCACATGAAAAATTTGAATTGAAAACTGGCGCAGATACAACGATAGTCGATGTTACTTTGGAACGTCGGATTGGTTGGATCCATGGATCTTGTGCACACGACACGCCTACGTCGTCCGCGTTATGGCGGCGGATCAGAGAAACGAATATGAGATACAGCACGGTCTGTTATGGAGAATAGATTACGATTTGTAATGAAGTCGGTATTCGTGGTATTTTTGAATACTGATGCGGTTCGTCGCGCGTGTTCAAATCGTGGACGGTGATAAATTAACGGCGCAACGAATTCTGAAGACGTCAAGCCGTGCGACTTAATTAATTTATCGCAGTGAATACGAGTTTTCTATAGTATAGCGATAGCGTGTCATTGACTCAAGACGAAGTGTCAAAATCAGATTTCGACTCGACATCGACTCGGCCTCCTGCTCCTTCTCTCTGACAAATCTCCGTCGCGATACCACCGAGAGATTCGTTTATTTATTAAGCATCAGCCGATCGTTCGGGCTCGGTCGAAGATAGAGAGAGTGCGTTTGAAAATTCATCGTTACCGAATAAAAGCTTTACCGATACTGCACCGTGATTTCCACGCAAATGAGATGTATGTGACGCCAATGTATTGTTTTCCTTCTGTCGAATAATTCTCGTAGCGTCGTAGCAAGTGTTGCATTTATTTATGCAGTCGTTCGTGTGCACAATGCACAGTACCGATAGCAGTACTCTTCTAATACTTTCTGCATATCGCCGTTACAACATAGTTTGTATATCGTACCACTGACATTTATACGACGACCGAATTAACATTTATCTCGTTTGCTTTTTACGTTTGATATCTCAAGCAGAGCATATTAACGATTGTGGACAGGTAGTCGATGTCAATAAATGTTTATTCGTTTAATAACTTTTGTAAGAATTAACTGTTGTATATCTGGTCATGTTTTCTTAATAATAATCTAGTCAAATATCGGGGCATTGTACAAGTAAATATGTTCGTGGAAACAATAATGTATGTACTTCGGTGTAATCTTTTTCAAGTGTGCTATAATTTCAGGTGTTTAGGAAGTTAAATATTAAACATAATGGCACACAAACGTTTTATCTAAGTAACTATTAATTTCTCCTTAAACATGATACCCATGGAAAACGATCATCGAACACTCATTAAGATGTGTTTGTTTAATGTTGTTTATTACTGATCACATCTTTGCTGAGGTCAGAGAGTGATGCCGGTTCATCAGATCAATGTTAATCCGCCTGACCGGCAACCACCTCTGTCGCTTGATCCTTCCAATAACAATAGCCCTGCTGGTGGCGAAGGCTTACCAGAATGGACGCCAAGGGTAACGCACGTTTTAATTCTATTCCTATATATCCATTCGTATCTCGAATTTCTCGTAAGTCTCGGATCAATTATCGTTCTACGCCCGGTACCAATGAAACATGCATTTTTTAGGAATCAACTTATGCAACAGTAGTTACTATCATACCAGATCATTGTCACTCATCGGTGAGCACATTATCTTCCAGCAATCATGATATCTGCAGGTAAATCTGACCGACGATCGTCAACATTAAAAATTTATGTGCATCGTTTATAAAAGATACTGTTTTCTTTTTAACGACAGAATATGCCATTGCGAGGGTGAGGAGGGTGCTCCTCTCTTGGCACCCTGTTACTGCAGTGGTAGTTTACGTTACGTGCATCAGGCTTGCCTCCAACAATGGATAAAAGCTTCGGACACGCGTGCTTGTGAATTGTGTAAATTCACATTTATTATGCATGCCAAGACGAAACCATTTTGCGAGGTATTATAAACTTTTATTCGTTACCGATCGTATCGACTTGTTTGAAGATCAAGTGAACACGATGAATTTTTAGTGGGAGAAACTCGAAATGTCTACCCTGGAAGTTCGTAAATTATGGGTAATGGTCATATTTCATACACTGGCCGCGCTCTGCGTGGCTTGGTCGTTGTACGTACTGGTCGAGAGATCGATGGAAGAAGTTCGACGCGGATACGTGGACTGGTCTTTTTGGACTAAATTAATAGTCGTCGTAATCGGTTCTACAGGAGGCTTAGTTTTTATGTACATGCAGGGCAAGATATACGTTACACTATGCAGAAAGTGGCGAACATTCAACAGGTCCGTAACAATTCCGATGATAGTTAATACCGTGTCGATGACAATTACTTTTCTACAATGACCACCAACCAGACTTGTTTTTCAGAGTAATATTTATTCAAAATGCTCCCGAAAAAGTGGTGCTTCCTCCCTCACCTACCGATTCTCTGATAGAAGTAACATTGCCACTAAGAGATTCAACTTCCTCTATGCCCGAGCTCAATCCATGTGCCTCGCAAATGGTAAAACCAAACAAATGGATCTCACTTGAAACTTTATGTGTTTGATAAATTGTCTTCGTCGGAGGACAATAATAACGACAACTCGTAATAGGAGTACCGAACAGACGACTGCTAATTGCATATTAATGATTAGCAAAGGAGGAGAGAGAGAAAAGGAAAACACGGTGTGTAATAGCAGTGTACGCTGGTGTCTCGAATAAAATCGTAATTCTAGACTGCAGTACGATTTCGAGGATCGAAGTTTCTATTTCGAAACTGTCAAATGTCCGCCCTTACGGAGCACCTTTATCTGAAACCTAGTACTTCAGTGTTTACATTGACAATGAGATAGTTGAAAGTGTTTAACCACCGGGCTTAAACATTTTCTCCAACAATTGTGTACATAATTATTGTATCTGTGATGTTATTAAATAAACTTTACCATATTTAAACAGTGCCCGATTAACACCTTCCTTCGCTGGACGATGAAATACTGCGATGAACGATATAATTAATCGATTAGTCTTGAAGTATTCGAGATAGACAAAAATTGTACGCCTTCTTTGCAGGTAATAGCAGTACCTACAACTTTTGTTTGATATCATTTTCCGAGATTCCAAGAAAAATTTTTTTTCGAGATTTTGAAAGAATGGAACTATCTTATTATCAAATTCATCATTAGAACGTTGATCCTTTTGAATATAACGGTAAATAGTTGGCGCCACGGATCTTCCGGAAGACAGCTGCCATAGTGCCGCCGTGTCACTGCGCAACAACGCTTCATTTCTTCTGTTCTAGTAGCATCGTCTGTTACAGTTCGTGAAAGTGTGTCCGGTGAAGCCCGGAGGTAAGTGGCAGAAGTTTTTAATCCACGTTTAATTAGTCAGACGAATTCGATCCATCCGTATAACATGACCAGCCACACAAGGAATATTCTTAAATTTCGTTCAACCGTAATAGTTTTGCCATTATCGCACTGTATATGTAAGAATTAAGTAACGCGTGAGTATTTCTCGTAACCGTAGACGAAAACGTGAAAGAGTTTGTAGACTGAGTAAACGTACAATAAATATGATCAGTGATAAACAGGCGTTTACTTTTTTACATTTTTTAATTGATGTACGATGACTTTTTTATTGTCTCATTTTACATCGTTCACTTCTCTCTGTGTAAATCTAAATGGTGTAGCGTCGCTAAAATGGCGGGTATATCAGGTATATTTGCGGTTGTACAAAAATCGTTATTGCCATAAGCAGGCGCGTTAAAGCAGATTCTGTGTAATGCACAAATTTGTATGTAACGAGTTTTCGTATGATGAAATAAATACAAGAGATCCTACAAAATAATGGAGACACTCTTATATCACCACTCACCGCTGAAAGAAAACTCTTTGTATTTATTGTAGGTCTTCCATATATTTTATTTTCATTATACAACATTATTTCTTTTTCATTACAGTAATAGTTTAATAAATATCCAATTAACGATGGCGGATAATGATGACCTTTTGGATTACGAAGATGAGGAACAGACCGAGCAGTTGGTCGATGGAAGCAGAGATGCTCCTGCCAAAAAAGAAGTAAAGGGCACATATGTATCTATTCACAGCAGTGGATTTCGGGATTTTCTTCTTAAACCTGAAATACTACGTGCGATCATTGACTGCGGTTTTGAACACCCTTCCGAAGGTAAGATTACTACGTCGAAACGAGAGGCTTCTAAGTTTAAGTGTACATGGTGATGATATGAGATAGGGACAACAGATTGTACATGAATGATTTATCTTATCTGATCATTGATCACATAAAATAATTTGTGACGATTTCCTTCGAAGAGATATTAATTGATAATATCATTTACAGTGCAACACGAATGTATTCCTCAAGCAGTACTTGGTATGGACATCTTGTGCCAGGCAAAGTCTGGTATGGGAAAGACGGCGGTGTTCGTATTAGCAACACTGCAGCAGTTAGAATTAACGGAAAACAATCAAGTTTATGTTCTCGTCATGTGCCACACGAGAGAACTTGCTTTCCAAATCAGCAAGGAATATGAAAGATTCAGCAAATACATGCCTCATGTGAAAGTAAGTTGATCACAAATGTAGTATAATAAACTATCGTAGCAAGCTTTCTCGTATGATGAAACAAACTGCATCTTACAATATAATGGAGAATCTGTTATACCACTACTCACCACTGAAGGAATTTATTGAAACATGGTCTTTCGCGAGAACTAGAACGGTCATTACAAAGTCTTACGTGTGTTAATAGGTGGGAGTATTTTTCGGTGGTCTACCGATTCAGAAAGATGAAGAAGTATTGAAGAACACGTGTCCTCATATCGTTGTGGGTACACCGGGGCGCATTCTTGCTCTCGTCCGAAATAAGAAATTGAACCTGAAACATTTGAAACACTTTATACTCGACGAGTGTGACAAAATGCTCGAACTATTAGGTATACTTGAATTCGTTTCTCTCTTTCGTAGTTTTCTGGTTGACCGGTTCCTCACGTACGTGTTTTAATTAATTTACAGACATGCGCAGGGACGTACAGGAAATATTTAGAAGCACTCCGCACGGCAAACAAGTGATGATGTTCAGCGCTACATTGTCCAAGGAAATACGTCCCGTCTGCAAAAAGTTTATGCAAGATGTAATTAACAAATCTTCCTCTTCACTTCGATCTTCGATTGCTCCTACTTCGTTGGCCCTGTATTCATACCCAGGACAAAGCTCAGACCATACTCTAAATATCGTTGACGGCGCACCCGCGGGTTAGGCTAGTTAGACAACACTTTGATGGAGTGACACAGAATTTAAAAAAGCCCCTCGATGTTCTCGGATTTCGATCGAAACATCCGACTTGAAAGTAACGAGTTGCTGCTCCAAAGTTTTCCTCCGTTCACGGGACGGCTATGATCTGCTCGTAAAACAAGGGGAAAACGATATCGTCGTTTAACGTTGTATCTCGAGTCAATCAAGATGACGATACTTAAAAAAACAGAAACTAGTTCCAATGTTAAAATCTCTTAAGTAGTCCACTGCGGGATAACATTGCACAAATGTTGGGATACGTTGTATCTGCCGGGATGTGGGTCGGGCGAAAAAACGAATTTGTATATCTCGACTGTAAGGGGTGGACGGGGTAGATTTTTCGTTCAGTTAGAGCAGCATCGAAAAAAACGGTTTCTCAATCGGGTGGGGGGCTAAGAAGACGTCAAGACAACCTGAAGAGAGAAGAGCACAAGAAAGAAGATGCAAGAGGATATTTGGGAAACCGGGGTTTAGCATATATCTAGAAATTTGTTCGCGTTTAATATGTAATCGAGAACCACTGTATTTTAATATTTTGCCAAACGAGTACTAGTGGAGGTCGATTAATAGGAGTGAAATTGGACAGCAATGGAAGTGTTAACGAATAATTTGATCGTGCCCTCTGCTCGAAAGCAAAATCGCGACCTTAAAAAAGAATGGTATATATCCTAGAGGGCATTAAACTTTTGTGATATATACAAGCAAATCATCGTACGATGATCGAGGCCAATTCTGGACATATATTTCAAATATACCAGAATTCGGGAGAAGAGATTTGGCATCGAGTGGCCAGCGGATGTGTGGCACACACGAACATGGGTGCGCCTTCTTAGTTCTCTGTCGGGGTGACTGCTGAGTTTTCGTTGTTGGCACTACCCAGAGATGGAAGTCGCCGGACCGTATGTAACCAGTATGACTAATCCGATCGACAAATAAGTGCAAAAGAAAAGAATGAAAGCTCTAGCGAGAAAAGTTTTCAAAACCATTTAATAACAAGTTTCATTTATAATCGCTCGGTATAAAATGTCATCGTATCAGGGAAGCGGGAGAAATTGGAACACTTTTATAAAAGAAAAATATTCCACTAACTCATTTCACTTGCTTCATAGTTAACATTTTTTTATCATTCTTTCATTTCGTACAGATATCAAAATTTTGTTTCTATAATTTTTATTTACATCTAATGTCAATTTATTCATTTTTTTTTCCGTCGTGACTTCAATACAAATTGGAGTTTCGTTTGGTATTTACGTACGTTAGGCTTATAAAATTGTATTTGTCTCTAGAAATTATCAAGGTGTGTTTACCATTAAGGTAAAATAGATAATCTTGTAAAAAACATTCTTTGCGCAGCCCATGGAAGTCTATGTGGACGATGAGGCGAAGCTCACGTTGCACGGTCTACAACAGCATTACGTGAAACTGAAAGAGAACGAAAAGAACAAGAAGCTGTTTGAATTACTCGATGTACTTGAATTCAATCAGGTCTGTCCTCAGGTTTCCATTGAATCATATCATACGTTTACTACTTTTTATATTGCTCTTAAACATCTACACGACTACAAATTATATTTTCTTGTCTGACTTTCGTATTATTTGGCAGGTTGTTATCTTTGTAAAATCTGTACAAAGATGTATGGCGTTGGCACAACTCCTGACTGAACAGAATTTCCCGGCGATCGGTATACACAGAGGTATGACCCAGGAGGAACGATTGTCGAGGTACCAACAGTTCAAAGATTTCCAAAAAGTAATTGTCACGTTATTTATTTGATTAATCAAAACTGAAGTAAGATAAGATAAAAAATGGTAATTGCGATTTTCAGCGAATCCTCGTAGCCACAAATTTATTTGGACGAGGTATGGACATCGAACGTGTAAACATAGTATTTAACTACGACATGCCGGAAGATTCGGATACGTATCTGCATCGAGTGGCTAGAGCCGGTCGTTTTGGCACTAAGGTAAATAACTACACGATACTTTAATTAAGTAATTACTGTATCTATTTTTGGTAATCACTTATTTTTTACAGGGGCTCGCAATTACCTTAGTCAGCGACGAAAGCGATGCCAAGATTCTGAACGACGTTCAAGAACGATTTGACGTTAACATTACGGAATTACCGGACGAGATAGATTTAGCTTCGTACAGTAAGTTTAAATGAAACTGATGACAGGCAACATGTGGTTTACATTTTCTAATGCGGTTCACTCTTATTTCAGTCGAAGGACGATAAACGTAATTCCATTTTCGAAAACTATCAATTTCTGACATTCAGTAATGTAAGTAACATCAGTTCATTTTATGTGAATTTATCATTTCAATAAGTATATTTATAACGCTTCTTATTACAGGCACATGAAACCAATCGGTACACTATATATTTCTCATTATGTATCTACGTTAAGCATAACGCATACTTCGAAACAATTGATGTATACATATTTTCTATGATCTGACAAACCTTATGAACACATGATCGTAATCAAATCATTATAGCTGATTCATTATTCTTCTAAGGACTACAATAAACAGTTCAATGTTATTGTACAAATTATATATTTAATTTTTATTCCATGGTTAATGAGTAAGAATCTTCTGTATAAATAGATTTATAAGAGTACACGTTCTGTCTTCTATCCCTTGTAAATGAAATAAATATTTTTTTTTTATGATTCGTTATTTCATGTAACAGCATTTATACTCGCATTTCCTTAATGTTCGTTTCCTTTGTTTGGGCGGTGGTAGAAAGAACCACCTTAAACAACGCATGTATTTAGTTATATTTATTTCTTCCATAAATATCTTACTGTACAATCTAAAACAAATCTTATTTCATCCTAGCTTTATTTTGCGATTTGTTTCCTCCTTGATTACCACCACCTCGTCCAAGAGCCGTTGGACCTCTTCCACCACGACCAAAAGTACCTGCAAAGAAGTACATATCAAATAGTAGAAAAATAATAAATTTGACCGTAATAATAACGTGCAATGATTATCATTGTATCATGTTGCTTGTACATTCCGATGAATCATCTTATCAAAGGAAGTATATATATCTCTTGTTAGTGTAATACCTCTTCCGCTACCACGGCCTCGCTGATTTTGTCCTCTCCCTTTCATCTCTCCACGTCCTCTGGACTTCATTTGTACATCCTCTTTTACCATGTCTATAACTTCGTCAGGGATTCGTAAATACTTAATTGTACTACCACGAATGTAACATTCTGGCATTCTCCAAAATTTATCTCCATCCTAAATGATACGAAAGATGAAAATTATGTATCGAAGAAATGTAACGTATAACAGGAGAGACGTAGAAGAGTTCTAAGTTATTTACCCTGGATGTACATATAACTTCCCTGAGATTGATATTCATCCAGCTATCACAGCTAACCAAGTGTCCGTTATAGGTTTCTCCATTTTTTAATTCAACTAGCTAGGGAACACATTAAATTACTTGATGAATTAATCACTGTCTTAATTGTTGTTTGGATCCTAGAAATATGTATAAACATACCATAGGATGATTCTGGGCTGTTCTTAACAATGATAGAGGTAGCTGAAACGAAAGTGTGCGATAGATGAATTAAGTAATATTTCGACACTTGTTTCACATAGAGCAATTATTAAATTTACCATGTTTCAATACTTCGATGTGTATTCACGGCATCAAAACAAGCAGTTGCAAGCAGTTCATTTACAATTTGTAACAAAGACTGTATCGAGAGGTAAGACGGAAGACTTGCCGGTTTACAACAAAGTAGGGAACGTAGGGTTAGGTGGGGTAGGGGGTGAGACACCGTGAGAGACGCGCGAGTATCGCTCTGCCACTCTGTCTCTTCATCGGTGCAAGGGTTGTCTATGTGTCAGACCAGAAGGTTCAGAATCGAATGAATTACGTGTACACGAGGTGGTGTTGGAAATATTAGGTATGGCGTTAATCCTATCAGCTGATATCGTGTACTGGAGTGACGATTGTGACGACTGTGACGAGTCGTAGTTACATTACCTAACTGGTCGCGATCGTGTAGTAGAACGTTATCGAAAACGTTGCAAACATATTTCTTTATTGGATGGCTGCTCTCGTACATTAATTGATCCCGTATTATTCATATTTGTTTACTTTAATGACGCAATGGTTACTTCGGTGTTCGTAATGGTGAAAATACTTGTTAAACACGAATTCGATCGTGTGCGTCATTGACAAGACAGATAGAATATGGGGAAATAAATCGGATTATTAGTCATAAACCATCTGTATAAGTGGCCGGTGTGATAAAAGAATCTGCCGACCAACCAGCAGATTCGGTTGTGATGAGCGACTCCGAACAGCGGCAATTACACGTGCCTTATCGAGAATATCATAGTCAGAACAATACCAGTACTCCTGCCTTGGTCGACACCGATGCGCTGGTAGACCTCTCGATCACAACCAACAACTGCTTGCCGGCAAACAACGAGTGCCCGGAACTGATACCAGACGTTGAATTCGTTCCAAACCTGAGCAACGAGCAAGCCATAGCCATTGATTCCCCTGGAATTGACCGGGAGAGCCAGCCTCTCCTTGGTCGTATGGAATTTGATGTGATTTTCAATCGTTTCCCTGGTTCGTTGTCCTTTATACACATTCAGGTTTAAAGATTGTTTCGAACGCTCACGCTTCCATATTGTACTTTACAGATGATCCGCAGTTCTCGGAATTAGTATGGCAGGCTGAATTTGCAATAGATATTGGAATCTTCCCTGAGAGGATATATCAAGGCTCCAGTGGCAGTTACTTTGTAAAAAACCCCACAGGGGTAAGGTATACCTGTTTAAAAATCGAGATCTAACAGATGAGTTGATGTCTCCGTAATGGAAAAACGTTCATTGCAGAAGATAATCGGTGTTTTCAAGCCAAAGGATGAAGAACCTTACGGAAGGTTGAATCCGAAATGGACGAAGTGGATGCACAAACTTTGTTGTCCCTGCTGTTTTGGAAGAAGTTGTCTGATTCCAAATCAGGGATATCTCAGCGAGGCAGGAGCAAGTTTAGTTGACCGTAAATTGAGCCTGGGGATAGTTCCAAACACTAGAGTAGTTAAACTTGTCAGTAAAACATTTAACTACCCACGCTTAGACCGTCAAAAGGCTCGTATGAAACAAGTCATCGTCGATCAGTTTCCAACGGTGGGCTCCCATTTCAATCGTGTCGGTTTGCCGCCGAAAGTCGGTTCTTTTCAAGTTTTCGTAGACGGTTACAAGGACGCCGATTACTGGCTAAGGCGATGGGAGAGCGAACCGCTGTCGCCCCATCTCAGCAGAGAGTTCCAACTCCAATTCGAACGTTTAGTTATCTTGGATTATATAATTAGGAATACCGACAGAGGTAACGATTCGTAAGACCGAATTTTAATTTTATATTGATAATCAAATTATATTTTACATATATCATTATCTCTTTAAAAGGTAACGATAATTGGTTAATTAAATACGATAACAGTAATGGGAAAAATGGGTCGGAACAGGGTGAAGTAAAGATAGCCGCGATAGACAATGGTCTGGCGTTTCCCTTCAAACACCCAGATTCGTGGCGTGCCTATCCTTATCACTGGGCTTGGTTAAGCCAAGCGAAACAACCTTTCAGCGATGTAACGCGGGAGCTCGTGTTACCGCAGCTCTCGGATCAAAATTTTGTACAAGATCTTTGCGACGATTTGTATCACTTATTTAAAGTAAGTCTATTCGACGACAGTTGTTTAAACAATACGGATTAACGTCAATGAGGAATATTAATTTTTGTAGCAAGACAAAGGTTTTGATCGACCCCATTTCGATAAGCAGATGAGCGTGATGCGCGGTCAGATCTTGAACTTGCAACAAGCTTTAAAGGATGCCAAAAGCCCCGTGCAACTGGTCCAAATGCCTGCTGTGATCGTTGAAAAGTATGTAGCCACACATACGGATGTAACGCGATCGAAGATGTAAAAAGATGATTTGATCATTTTACAGGGCCAAAGGGAACGGAGCACCGAGATTATTCTCATTTTCTGACACGTTCACGCAGCGCTTCCAGAACAAGAGCCCCTTCTTCTCTTGGTGTTAGAAAAGATTGACCGGATGCTCCAGATACGATGTTGGATCTCTGTCGAGTGAAACGAACTGTTTACAGTGCATCGCAGATGCTGCATCTTATTACATACCAATCCGTTCTGTTTCTATTAATTTTATAAAGCATCACTACCTCTTATTTTCAAATGCCAGCTTCTAATCTACGGTCTATGTATTATTTATCGACATACTTTAATTTGCCTTATGTCTATACCGTTCTCGTTTAATTCGACTATACTAACGTAAATCATAGTATAATTATATTGTATACAGTAAATATATATAATGTTAAAACAACATTTCTCGATATGCTTCGTGTGTGACGGTATGCTAGAGATGGTAGTGTCTTACGATCAGGTAAACGGTGTCCCTTTCAAATATTTTACGTCTTCCACGCACTACCGATATATCTCTATACCTACGTAAAACTGCACGTCTTTAACGCGCGTCCCAACTGAACACTTGTCAGGGAAAACGTATTTCTCGAATCTCCAAAATTTACTGTGATCTAAACTAACGAAGATATAGTTGGAGCGTGTTCTTATAGTCTTAAATGAACGTCGCTCACATTATATTTTTGACCTGAACCGTATGAAGAAATAAATTTTCTATCAGTAGCTGTGAGAGAAATTCCTTAGTCAGTACGATATGTGAATAAATCGCTTTGATCTATGAATCTCATTGACCGAACACGTCGTTTCTGTTCTACATTGATCGCCGATGTTTTGTTGTTTATCGTATAAATAGTGGTGATTCAACACCAACTTCGATGTATGAGTTTGTTAAATTTTCTGTTTCAGTGAAATCACAAAATGTAAAGGTTGACATTTCCAGCTACGACACCTTATTCTTTTATATAATCCTATTTTATACACCGCGAATCTTTTCGCAATCGAGATTTATCGACGACCGACGCGCGTCTTTAATCCGGTTTATTCAAACGAAACGATTTAACCGATGAGTACATAGAGAGGCATAAATAATAATACAAGTACACGATGGAGGTGATAGAGATCACTAAGAAGAAGCCTGTGCAATTGCCTCGAGCGATGTGCCAGAAACCGCCGGGATGTCCCTGTCCATGCAACGTGAAAGTAACGAATTCGCTCATCTTTCTTATCGCCGATCCAGCCAAATACCATTTACATACGTACCGTCCCACGTTCTTTAGTGCATGAAGAGATATGTTCAGCCAATGCGAGCGAAGTCGTTTGCCCCCGTGAGAATGTACAATCCACCGTCGAAGACGATCGACACCAGTACCACGTACCACATGTCCTACCTCAACGTGGACCACGCAGAAATGCGGCGGAGCCGATCGCAACCGATCCGACCTAAGCCTGCTCTCACCAAGTCCGATGCACGATTTGCCGGCGAGACCACCAATCAATTGAGTTACAAGAGTATCGGCCACGTGCCTAAAACGAAACCGATTTTTCCGAAGCAAAGGTAAAATCGAATCTACGACGTCAAAGCCCAGGAGTCACTCGGATTCTCTCCCCCGAACTAGGTCGATGATCGGAACCGGTCCCATGGACTGTGTCACCACGGTTCGTCACGACTTCCAGCGGAAATACGTGGAGAAGCCAGACATGATAGTTCCTTGCGGGAACATCCGTTTGAGCACAGGCAAACTGGACGCGAGCACCACCGCCAAGCTTTCTTACGTCGATCCTGGTTGCACCGAGCCAACGATGAACTTTAAACCGATCGCGGTTTACTGTCCTCCGAGCGAACCGATTCCTCATGACACTACGCACAAATTAAGTTATCAGCCAGTTCGTATCGAGGAAAGGGAAGCGTGCCCTTGGCAGCAGAAACCGATCTACAGGTATTGATCAGCACTTTATTGCATCTGTTCCGATGTTCGATAATGATTAGATGCGAAATGCTTTCGCGGAAACGTTTAAAGACCCCCGGATGTCGCGATGTGCGGTAAGACGACGTACTCGGAAAGCTTCTTGAAGAACGAGGAAGGCTGCTGCACGGAGAAGCCTATTAAACCTGTGGCTGCCGATGTATTCCCTCGAGGCGGTCAATTCCACGGGAAGACGATCTACAAAGAAAGTTATTTGCAGTCGGGCAAGATAGAACGTGTCGAGCCTATTCTTCCTTGCAACGCTATATCGAAACCGGACGGCAAGATATCCACGGATACAACGAGCAAAGTACTTCCATCGCATCCTCTTTTAACTCTCGGATCGAATTTCATTTGATCTTTATAGATGAGTTATCAACCGGTTCAAAGCGAGAAACGTTCACCGATATTACCTCGAAGCAGAAGCATGATCGGAGACGGTCCGATGCAATCTGAGACCACGAATCGTTGCGAGTTCGTGCAGAAAATGACTATGCGTCCTGATCTAGTTGTCCCTTGTGACAATCTTCGTAGCGCCGATACTCCGATTGACGATAGGACCACCACCAGGCTTTCCTACGCGAAACCAGGTCCCGTGGAATGGGTGCAGAGCTTCAAACCTCTCGCTATATACAAGAGGTAAATCCATTGCATCTCCCCTCGCACGTACTGGAAAATGCATTACGCTCTTTCTTAAGGCTGCCCGACAAAATCGAATGCGACACCGTCAATAAACTGTCCTATCAACCGTGGAGCCCAATTCCCAAAGAAACCGTGCCATGGGCAGCTAAGGCCAAGTACCAGCCACCCACGAATCCAATGTGCGCTGATACTATTTATCAAGTCAGTTATCCAGCGCCTGGCCACTACGAGGAGACTTGCATTCCCGACGAGTGCGACTGCTTGCACTCTCACGACGGATATCCTGTAACGGAGACAGCGAACCAAGAGATCTGTGCCTGACTTTACCATCCCCTCGCATACAAGTAATATTCCTGCCTGTTGTCCTATACTTAAAGGTGAAAGGTACTTCAGATTGGAAAGAATAGACGGAGATCGAATTAAAGGCTATTTTATTCGATACGTCGATTCGGTACGAACACATCTTATTTTACACTTATATATATATATATATAGATATCTATATATATATATCTCATCATTATATGGATGAATAAAAGTAATAATAACGTATATGCTTTACAAACAGTAAAATTGTTCTCCATAGTAAAATAAACTCTAATCTTTGATAAAAGATTAATAGACAATATTAACGTACGTTCGTTAAATCTTTACATGCACGCGGTAGAGGCTCACTTTCATCCGTACACTCGTACAATATATTTATATGTATGTATAGTAAATATAATTAGGATAACGACACGTTCGATGCTACCCAAGATAAAGCTTAGCGTACAGAAATGTTTCAAATTACGCGCAACAACTGATTGTTTTTAATATAGTGTACAAACTACAGGGGAGGGAACGATGATTAGAGAAAGGAATTGATTGATGAACGTTCGCTTAAGAATCCTCTACAGTGTTCTTAAATTCTACCGACTGATTAGTTTCAGTAATCGAAAAATATGCTATTCATAAAAAAGAAAAAAAGGAAAAATGTTGCGCAAACAAAAGAGTTTGATTTACGAATTTATTAAGGATCTTCGACAGATCAAAGATTTGAACTATAAGCCGCCGTATGTCTCGACGTCTAAACGATTCTCAAAAAATAGAACTCGGGCAAATTTGAAAATCGTAAGGCACGTACTTTTAGGTCACGTGAATTACGTCACAACATTGTACACATTCTCACTTTCTGTCTCCGTTGCACAAACCCCGCTCTCTCTCATAATTTCGGCAAGATTCTCACCGATAAATTAATTAAAAGCTTTGTCGTCTGCGATCTCGCTATTTACATTACTGTACGCAACAATGATTGTCTTCATTTACGCGTTCTCCACGTATCACATACGCAGCAATTCTATTTAAATCTGTTCGCTGCTCTTACCTCGCGCGCTCTCTTTTTCTTGCCATTAAAAACAATGGAGAAGCTTTGGTAGACCGTACATTACGGCACGTCGTCGAAACGTACGTAAGAAGAGAGGCAACAAAATCCGTTTCACGCTATACCAGTATAAGATATTTCTCGTTGTTTCATATAGCACAAAGCTCGGATGCACCTACAGCATTACATACTACGTGCGTATGTACTTTTCATATTGCGTATGCCTCGATACATGCTTATTATAATCTTACAATATTTTGCACGATATCCTCTACGTTTTGTACCAAGTAATGTAATGCATCCTTTTAGAGAAGGCTTAGGCTCAGGCGTAAACACGTAAAAAGTGATTCGACGTCTCGTAAAGTTTTATCATCGACGAGACGAAACACGGATAAAATCAGGCAAGTTGCGATGTGTAACCTTGTCAACAGATTATAAAATTACAAAAACGGTTCGATAGATTCTATACAAAAAACCAGCTTGCTTACAATTCAACCAAGCCCAACATCGCTGATTGTAAATTATATGTAAGAAATTGGTCATTCGTAACAAAACTGAACGAATAACTAGTCCCAAGGTGGAATCAGATAAAGCGCGCAGCGCGTTTGTTCTGGATTTTGATTTATCGCACTAGCTTAAAAAAAATGACATGTCGTGTTCTTCAGAAGTAATGGTAAAACCTAATCGATTAGGCGAGCTAGACATTAAATTGAAGACAACGAGACCATTCATATCCCTCCCCTATGAAACAACAATAAGGACGGAACACATCCGTCGCGTGATTACTTGATTAAAAAGATCTGATTAAAGTGAGAAACGAAGGCGATTAATCGACAGGTATACGTTACAGTGATGCCCGCTTAAGATACACTTATTGCATTCATTTTTATATCTTTGTTTCATTCAATATTTCTCATTCTAATTGGAATGAAAGTGCTCGTCGAGACGGTCGGATATCTGTTTCTCCCGTTGAAGTCGAGACCCGCTACACAGGCACCACTGCACAGATATTATCGCGCCTGACCTACCTATTGCGGCTTAGTGTTGTACGATTGTATGAACTCGGAGAAGCTAAACGGGTCCAAGTTGAGATTTTCGTCGATCGAAGGCAGCTCACCGTGACTCATCAGCTCCACATAGTCCATGTCCGCATTTGTTCGCCCGACGCTCGACTGGCCAAGGCCCGGAGCATAGCTACCACAAATCAAAACACAACCCCAATCACTGGCATTGTAATGGATAGTAAGACTCGCGCTAAATCCAAGTATGTTCTACAACGACACGATTAAATTCTCATGTTTCCTTCTCTCATCGTCATCTTCTTTCTTTTATGCGTTGCGTACCCTTAATCAACTATTGTTCTTCGTTCGATTTGAGAGCGTGTCTCATCGAAGCGTGTGACCGATTAGCCGGATAGCCGGTACAACACGGCAAAGGAAGTACTAACAACCACAAAGAATCCCCAAAAGTCAATCGATATTGATCGGTCACTCTTCACGGAATCATCCCCAACGTTTCCACATAATCTCATACGATTCCGTACACGTATCGGATTACTCTTCCTCGTTAAGTCGAGTGTTCACCATATTTAGATGATACTTCTAAACGGTACGAGTACTCATCGAACCGTAACGAAACTCTTCGAGCTGGTAACGCTCGATTGCCAGTAATAACAACTGTAGTGCATCGTGATTGGAGCTGCGTCTTTTTTTGCATTCTCAGGAGTAGCATTTAACTTTCCATTGTTGTGGTTGTACCGGCTTGCTCCAGGCCTATGCCTTCGATTTACCCGAATCCCGCGTTACGCGCGATTCGCTTCGCGACTCTGCTTATTCAACTATCATTATATAAAACGATTTGTAATGAAAAGAATTATGTAATATGCAGATACACGCGTACGTAGACAAATGTACGCACGTATGTACACGTATTCAATACTACACTACTGCGAAGCAACAGTTTCTTCCAGTATTCAACTTATTTTGCTTCATCGTTCCATGCCATGGATAAGCCGTATCTATCTAAGAAACATAAAGTAATAAAAAGAAAAAAGAAAAAAGAAAAATCGATAATTTTACCAAATTCAGAAGTAATTTACGAACTAAACAAAAGGCCACGTCGTTCTGTCCAAGTCCTCTCAATGCCTATCCGTTGGACGGATTTTCCTGTAAATCGCTTTTCAAGCAATTCGATAAAATTTCCAAATATAACTCAACCGTTCAATACCGTAGAACATCAAATGTCTATAACATCAAATGTCTATAACATCTAGATATACATTCATCCTTAAAAATATGTTTTGATTTTAATTAGCTTTGTTCAGAGGACCTTGGAAATCTAATGACCAATAATTATATCCAGCATTTTAATAGTGTTCACCTAATGCTACAGTATATATATATGTATATATATATATATATCAAAAACATAATATCAAAAGTAGAATACTGGGTGGCATGAAGATCGATGAAATGAATATAACAAACGTTAAATTAAAAAGGAAACAAATGAAATAATGCCGAGAGACTAGTCGATGAAAAACGTTATAAAAATTCTTGGTAATTCTTATGCACCCAGTAGTCTCAAGTGTGTAGTCCTCTTAATTGTAGATTCGTTTGACACGACTTAACGTTAAGTAAATATTTCACAATACGAGAATAGTATAAAAGTTGCAAAGTTTCATAAGAAAAGTTTACAAAATGCGAAACTTCTCAATCAACGTTATCAACTATACGTATATAATAACCTGGTAAACGTACACAAAAAGAGAATATAAAAAACAATACTGACGCTCATATGCACCGATAGGATACGTGTAAAAGATATGCAAAGTATCGTCCATCGTAGGAATGTCTTGTCTCCATGATATTTACGAATTCGTTACGTCGTCGGTTTTGTGTTAACTTTAAGTGTCCTAACTGAGGCTTGTCGGTTCGCTATCGTGTCTGTACGGTAATGAAAAAATTCTTTCTTTAAAAAATGTATTTGTTTAAACGTATCGCAAGCGACACAAAAAACCGATCTTTGCATATCTTGCGTGAAATTTCTATCGTGATTAAAGATGTTAGAAATGAAAGAGATGTACGATCGATTTAGATCCAGTTAACTGACCTGGAAGCCACTGACGGCGTGTCGCGTGTTACAGACGGATCGGGACTGTGCGCTTGAAACATAGTGGACGGTGTCGCTGGGTAACTACCACCGGGACCACTTTGTCCGCTACTTCCTACACCGACCACGGAAGAATGGGACGGTGTTTGGCCACCGACTCCCGGTCCACCCCAGCCAGGTACGTGCGTTACCAACAGCGGTTTTACGTATCCATTCGTCGACGTGGACTGATTTTCTGAAGAGAACCGTACAAATTCGAAGCACTGTAACGAATAACACCGACAGGCAGTACTAAACATTAAATAATTACCTGTGAACGGTGTGTAATACTTGGAGAACGCTTGATCCTTTGATAAATCTGGATAAAGATAAAGCAAGTGTTGCAAGTCGGACACGCGATCGGCTAAGCTACGAATCGCGAAATCTTTGCTCGTGAACGGTTGAAGCATGAAGACTTCGGTCTGATCTATAAATTAAAAAGGCAATGTAAAGTATCAAACAATATCTGATGGGAGATAGCAAATTTTACTATGTACTTACCTCCGACCCAGGCGATGGTAACACCGCCGAGCTCGGAGTCCGAAAATCGCATGAGGAACGTTCCCGATGCACAGTTGGCTAACATCTCCTCCGCCTGTTTCTTTCTCACGAATCCAAGTATGTAACCATCGATCCACGGACCTCTCAGATGCTCTCTAGTCAGTTTCATTACAGCGTAAAACCATTCCCAGAACGTGAAATTCCTTTCGGGTAACGGCTCCTTGCAGAACTGTGCCCAACTCAAAAGTAAGTTGGAGTAATCTTGTCCGGTCGCGTTTCCACCGCGGAATGCCTTTTCCGCGAGGAATCTCAGATTATCCTCTGTCAACGAACGACCCGTCGCCGATCGAAATTTAACGTTCAACGCTTCGGCCACTTGGCCCCATGGAACTTTATCAGGTACTGCGAACGGTACTCTGCCCGGTTCGGCAAACGCGTTATCCCACGTAACTGTGGCCCACGCGTGTGGCTCCTGGTTCCCGTGCACGATCACTACGACCGGTAAACTTAATGTCCAAACTTGAAAGACTAATTCGCCGCCACCGACGCTGAATTGCGATTGAAAGAGAAGCGAGAACTTTTCATCCATCACTGATTCCGTTCCCTTCTTCTCCGCCCTCTTGATCTTCTTCAACTGCATATTGCGAAAGCTGACAGAGAGTTGTCTCGTTGCCTGAATAAAAAATTTGTCACGTTCTAATCTCGACAATTGAATTATATCGTAAACCGTGTTAACGTTTTAATCTTACCTGATGATATTCCATCGTTCCTGTATTATTTAAGATTTCACCGCTCGCTTCTCCGTTCTTCGCCATTTTATCACTTTTCAATAAAGCATTTGCCTGCGCCTCACTGATAATGCTCACTTTTACTTGAGGCGGAGTCATGTGAACGTTCAATTTTCCACCGACGAGCAAACGCACCGTACTCGTAAAACGAGTATTGGTCTTCATCACCTGTGGCGGTTGCTTCTCGATGATAAACGTACTCGTGACCAGCGAGCTAAGGAGCTGTGTAATTTGAGAATTTAAGGTAGGAAGAATATCCTGCATTCCAGGCGGATCGAGAGCAAACTTCTGTTTCAAGCGCTCCGCCTCCTTGATTTGCTGCCGGTTCAGCCAAATCAATTCAGCCAAGTTCTCGCACCATTCTTGAATGGAATCCAGATTACTGTTAAACGGTGCACCGTTCCCCGCCAACTGCTGATCTCTTTTCCACCTAATAAGCTCGTCGTCCAAAACCCTCGATTGCAGACTATTTAATCTGGTAATAGTATCTTTCAGTTTGTCGGCTAACGTCAATCGTAATTGCATCAAACCCGCTACTTTGTGATTCAGTAACTGTTCCTGTTGTTCTTTCTGCCTTCTTATTTTCTTTTCCAAGTCTAAATTCTGCTGATTCTGCGGCTGTGTCGCGAGATGCTGAAGGTGAGCATTCAACTTAGTACACTCGTGATAACTTATAGCGAACGCTTCTTGCTCCTGTTCCATTTTCCTTAAATCTTCTCCAGTCTCCTGCGTCCTACGCCGCAAGGATTCAACGTGTTGAGCTATTTCAGCGACAGCGTCACTTATCAGTCCTACTTTCCCGCCTGCCATATTCATTAAAGCGCCTCCTAAATTCTCTACCTGAGCCACTAACTTCATTTCCGTCCCTAGGCAATGTCTGATTATTCTAAACAATGCTCCTGGATTGTTTGTGTATCTATGCTGCGTTAGGAAAAAGTACCATCAGAATTTGTTATAAATAAAACTCTTACTGCGAAACTTACACGAAAATTTTTAGCAGCCTCCATTAACTTTAATTTTGTAAGAAACATGTCGTCTGAATTTAAAGAGGCTACTTTCGTTTCTAATTCTTGTATCAGAGCTCTGACAAGATTAGCTATGTATTGTTCATATTGAGGATTATCAGGCTCTATGTCGGTCCTGTAACGAACGTATCGTCGTTAAGCAGCTGAATGATTTCAAACAAAAGATTCGTACAGGTTCAAGATACTTACCACATCTTTTCTTCTATCCAAGAAGATAAGAAGTGACGGACCTCTATTGGAAAGTGCTCCCCATAAACTGAACGTACTTCTTGCAATGCATCTTGTGGTAACTGCTGTGCTTTTGCCCACAGAGACATTTTGCTTTTAATTATGAATCCTTTATCTGGAACGATGTTACACTTTCCATACAAAAGTTACAACCACAGATCAAATGTGTGAAAAGCTTATTCGTGATATTGCAAGGAAACGAAACGATTAATAACATATACAAGTTCTATGCAATTTCGAAAATGGATACATATATAT